AAAAAGGTGAATCACGTCATCGAAGACGTTCTTCGCAGCGTCTGCGCTGAGACGTCGAGGCGCTGGTGCGCTATGTTGCCACTCGTAGCGTTGCACTGAACAATGCAGTGCATTTCTCTAACGGCTACATGCCGTTCTACGTGAATGGGCTGATTTACCCTCGCGTCCCGCTGACGCCGCCATCCCATGGCTCAGGGCTAGTTGGGGGAGGAATAGCCGAACGGCTAGCTGATGTCAGCCCCTCACCATCCGTAAAGAAGTCGATGATTTCTTGTCTACCGGACTTAGTGTCCTACGACACGTTCACGATGCGATGGCTTAAGGCCATGAACTGCAGAAAGAATATGCAGATGAAAAAGGAAGAGGCAAAGTAAAAAACGTTAAGGTCGGGGACCTGGTTTTATTAAATTAAAAAAAAATTCCTACACATGCAGCCTTTGCTTACTTCAGGACATAGCTTCGTCCACGTTTATCGGACCGTTTAAGGTTGTGGCCAAGCGGGGCCTGGCGTACATGCTGAATCTTCCGAAACGGATGCGCACTCACCCGGTGTTCTACGTGGGCTTGATCAAGCCTTACCGGGATCTGGTGCATGTGAACGCGGAAGCGTTGGCGCCGGAGCGGATACCACGGGCCCGCTGCCACCCAGAAGTTGAACCAGCAACTTGTTCTGAGCACGGAGTGCAACACTTTCCATTTCTAATGGCGCCAAGCGCTCCTCCGTCGCATGCAGCGACGCATTCGCCTGCTCCACGGCTAAGAGTCGCTTCGGCAGAGCGCTGTACTCCTCAACGCGAGGCAGCCGCCGCCCGACGTGCATTAAATTCGAAAGAGCGTCCGCACAACGATATGCTACTTCAGCATGACGCTCAGCGGAGCTCCGATCACGATGGACCTCGTCCTCAAGGGCTCGAAGAGTATCACGAGTCACCGGACAGCGGTCGTCCGCTTCGTCACCGCTCGCCACCGACTCTTCCCCCGATGAGAATGGTGACGTCCACTATCACGCGGAACGTCAAGTGAGACGACGTCGTTACCAAGGTCAAACCCAATATCTGGTGAAGTCGCGGATATATCCCGACTTTAAAAACTCGTGAGAGTCTGAGTCTGAGACGCCACTTCGGCAAGATTGCCCAGACGCAATAATCGATTGGATACTCAATCTTAATGGCGGAAGGTATAACGGGGTTACACGTCCCCTGGTAACAGGGGGGGTGTCACACGAGGTGTGCATGGTGTGACTGCACCAAACAAGAATATGGTATGTGGCTAGGTAGCCAGTAGTCATGCATGTATTAAGATTTTACTAAATTAATTCAGGAAAATCTATACATTTAAAATTAGGCGGTTTAGCCGCAAATAAAAATCAGTTCTAGATTCTAACCGAAAGTCAATAAGGCTTGGGAAGGCAATAATTACTCTTGGAGTAAGCAGATTGCGATCCGCTAAATCATACTTGGTTCTTAAAACAAAAGGTCTGTGACCTCAAGTACGCTTCCTCAAGCGCTAAGTTACGGCAGCCCCGCTGCAGAAATGCTTCTTATATAGATGCTTGCCAAAACTGATGCTTACACGCGTCCTCTTATCATGTAGACCGCAGACGAGACGTCCTATGAATCCTCTGAAGCAAACCTAAATCTATAGACGACTCAAAAAAATTCTTGCCTGACAGAAGTGGTTTTCTTCGTCACATCGCTTGATGATCTGGATGCTTTGCATCAGCGGGAAGAGATAAAGTACTCGTGGACTCGCCACACAACTGCATTCTGAAATCTGGTGAGTGCCTCTAGGTGAGCAGTCACCACTTTCGGCCATTCGATCGCTATGTTCCTGCTCTCATCGAATCACAAGATAGACAAAAGAATGTCGAGCTCAATACTTATCCTGAAGAACATTTCATGCTTTATCCTCGCAGAGGATCCAGAAATTTTTTCGACTCGGCCGTGATATTGACTAATGTGCTGCTATGTGCACCAGGATTGCTGTGCACTTTGCCAAGAGAAAGACTTGACTCCCAAAGTACACATTGACAAACGAACATCGTTTGCTCCTACCAGGAGTGGAGCCGAGGGCCTCTGAGGTATACAACTTGCTAATTTGAGAATTCACATATCAATCCGATTTAGAATATATCTCAATTGAAACGCTTTAATATCTCTCATTATTCTAATGTGTTTATCTTTTGACGTGCAGCTAGCAGCTTAGGTGTGCCTTGAACCTCTACTTTTCGTAGTTTCTACTCTTGTCTTGGTCAGCAGAGCTAGCCGGAATAATGTTCTGGTTAGCAGATCTAGCCGAAACCAAGTTTTTTGTTTAGCAGATCTAGAGAAAATAATATTTTACAGCTCCGGTAATGGTTGTGTTCTATTAAATTTTCTGCATGTTGACGAAAGTATCTGCATTATCAACTTTCCATTACAAAAGTAATTAGAAGTGGCAGTACATGTATTATCTTTCATCAGCGGACTAAACCTTCTGGCTTGTAAACCATAAAAAAGAACGAGGGGAATTGAGTTCTGGCTAGGAACGTCCATAGTACCGTGCAACTAAATCTTGTTCTCTGATGAAGTGATATCACATGGGACCACCATACGTTAACCACTATGCCAATCTAATTTCGATTTTGCATATATATTATGCATGTAGAATAAACATATAGCTGCAACATTGTTCTTCAACAGTATCGAGCGGCGTCATCTCAACTAATCGCCTTAAATACTTGTGCTCCATGGCATTGGCTCGGTCTTTCTACCAAATACCTCGTCCATAAGCGCAAGCATTTTGGTGAAAAAGTGCTGCTTGGTGAACTTACGATTAGTGAGGAGCGCTGACGGAATAAATTTGTTTTGTTTTTATCATTCGTTGATATCTTGCAATTTAAAGCGAAGGCTTCAAGACCATATCTAACCGTGTCGATGTTTTTAGAAGGTCGAGCCATTTTGCCGACGGTGGGGCGAGCGCCATATTTCGTCAGCTTTCCAAGCTCTCAGCATCGCGATGCTTACTAAAAAACTTTTTTTTTTGGGCGTTGACCGTCTCGTATTGTTGATGGCATTCCAATACTTGGCCAGCCATGAAAAATGTTGACGATATGATTGTATGGTGTAAACATATCGATACGGTCATGTAAACACTTTAAAAACACTTCACCATCGTACAGGGCCTTAATGTGCACCTTTGGAATCAGAAGCAGATGAGAAGTTCTCCGCCAAGTACAAGCAGCTACTCTCTCGCATGTATAAAGGAAAGGCAGCACTTTTGCTCTCCTTTCTATCTGTAGCAAATCTCAAGCTTAAATAGGCGAGTCTAGCATTCCAGGGGATCTTTATACTCACAAAGGTATTGATGGTTATGTGCATCAAAGTGTTATTGATATAGTTTTAAAATTATGGATTATTGTGTAGTAAAGACAATTTTGGAATTCTCAATTGGTGGCATTTACATAACGATATATATATACTGTCTGAATTAACCCTGTCTAACTTAAAACCCTATCTAAATTGAACAAAAAATATGGACCCAGGGCTCCATACAGTAGAATCTGTCCAAAGTAAACCTGTTTAATTTAAGACCCTTTCTAAATTAAACACTGTCCCCCAGTCCCAACATGTTTAATTTAGACAGGTTTTACTAGGCAAAGAAGTGCTGTGCAGTCAGCCTCTTACTAATTTTGCTTTCTGAAGGTTCTGATCTAAGAAAAAACGTAGATATGTGCAGAATTGCTTTTCGTCCACAATGCAACAAGCACACTAGCTGTCACGGCGACGGGTTCTTAAACGTTAATCAAACATGAAAATTAGTACTTGCTTTATGTTTTGATCAGAAGTTTTGTTTGCTGTTTTGTCTCTATCACTGAAGCCAGGACGTGATTCTCTTAAATATAATAGCATGCGTCGTAATAGATTTGATGAGAGTGTCTAATATCTCATTCTCTGCGGCTAAAACCTTTATTAATTGATATCATCTGAAAGTCAAACTGTCCTTATAACTAGTGTCAAATCCGATTAGATGCTCCTGGTTTTTGCTTGGCTATAACCGGATCATCTCCATGCGTCTCGCTTTCCTTCTCTTCGCTGCATTTGCGGCCACGCTTACGTTAAGTCTCACGACATCCAACGCCAATGACATCACTACAAAAGAAGCTTTAAACACTAATACTACGACTATCAAACAAGATGACAAGATTCTGTCTTCACGCAAGAATGAAGGAGTGGAGGAAGAACGAGTTCTTGGATTGGAAACGATCAAAACTTTCTTTAATACGAAAGTTATGTCGTTAATCAATCGTCTACGAGCATGGTTTGGACGTACCTTTCGCTTTAAAAAAAGGGACACGGGGACAAGTTTCAACTCGCTTCCAACTTCTTCATCCAGTCCAAAGATTTCTGTCGCTGATGTGAAAGTGAGCAACAAGAAGTCGCAAGTGCAAGATGGTAGTAAATTGCTATCGAAGGATGTTTCAACAAAGTGGGTAGGAAAATCGACACGTGGGGATAACGTGGACACGTCACCACAACATGCTCAAAAGTTGCCTTCTACCTCAATAGAATCCACTTCAGGCGTTAACAATGTACATACGCCACAGATCAAGATGAGGGAGTCACAAGTGGAATCAAAAGTCCCACAATCTCTGCCGATGAAGAAAACTGATGCACAAGGGGAGATAAAACCCCATATAACTGTCAAAAATAGGTTACCGTCATTTGACACCATAAAAGCCCAATTAAACGATCTCAAAGAACAAACGCCTCCGCTCAGCGCTCCGATGAGGATGGAAAGAGTTGACTCAAACGTGAAGATGAAAGCTCCGCCAGTTCCACCGTCTAACGTCCCACTGAAGATGAAAGCTCCGCCAGTTCCACCGTCTAACGTCCCACTGAAGATGAAAGCTCCGCAAGTTCCACCGTCTAACGTCCCACTGAAGATGAATGCTGATCAACAAGTGCATAATATACAAACGCCCCCTCATGAAGTTCTACCGTCTGTAAGTAAAATTGACCCACAAGTGGAAACGAGATTCCCACAGTCTCCTGGCCAGTCGCTCAAATCCAGTAAAGATTCAAAGCATGACATACCTCCTACATATTATTCCTCATCTCCCGTCGAGAAACCGAAGGAGACAACTCATAAGGTGAACGGAGACGTAGTGTCGACAGACAGTTTGCCACAAGCACCGCCTCAGAATTCTGATAGTAAGATAAAACATTCTGCTGAAGATTCGACGAAGAATGTCGGAAAGCAAAAGTGGGGAACATCGATCAAGAAATTTTTCCAATTCCTTAAGAAATTGGCCGAACAACCCTCGAAGGCTAAAGCCGATCTGTCGACAAATTCTCAACACAAGGCCGAATATCTAAATGTTCAAAAACAGTCGGTAACAAATGAAGCTGATCCAGTGAAGCAGCAAAAGGTCGTGGAAGCCACTGACGAGCTGAACAAATTAGGTTCTAAAACGTCAAAAAAATCATCATCATGGTCCATACGTGCTCCTTGGTCTCAATAGCAAACTCCAAATCTTGAGTCTCATCTATCGTCAACTTCTGAAAGCAAGACGGTTGATTCGTCTTCAATACCTTGAGCTCTAGACGAAGGTTCCGTTTTTGACTTGGTTAATGTGAGATTTGTTCTTGCCAAAGCGCTGGTAGCGAGAAAATTGGCTAGCACAAAAGTGCGTAAGTAGCGAATATGCATGATAGTAGCTGTAATGATGCTGCGAATAAGTGAAAAATAAAATTGTGATTGAGGTTAGCTACATATCATTGTCAATATGCGCACGTAAAAAACTACTGTAATTATAAATATCCACAGATGGCCCCATGTGAAGATACTAAACTCAAGCAATACGAATATTCATGTTGAAAAACTGATACAGTATCAGCTAGAATAGGAATAATTGTAAAATTATATTGCTTCAGATTAAGGGCCTCGATTCTGCTTCCAGGTAGACAGACATACGAAGTCATCCTTCGAGCGTCAAATGAGCGGACTCTTTGAGTCGAAGCTACCGCTGTGTAAGGCGCACGGCTACCTCGTTGCACTTGGTAACATGTTTTGGTCAATCTGAGAAAAGATTGTATCTCGTATAGGATAGAACACGACGTGGTTGATAACCTATCCCCGAAACAGATTGAGAAGCTGATTAGTTTTTGTCAACGTCGGTCTCGAAGGGATCGGTAAAAAGGAGGCTTAAGGGCCAGATGCGATAGCTATTTGCGTGGAGGCGCTCAGCAGCTATGACATTGTGCTGGTTAGACGCTTTCAGGAACGATATATCGCGGTACCGATAGGAGAACGGAAGGCACTCAACGTGCAGCTAATGTTGACGGTCTAAGAAAATCATCTATATCTGGGCGAGGGAAGCTGTGATGTTCATGAATTTTGCGATGCTTCTGGCGGAGCAACAGCGCGTCACGCACTTGGCGTTCAGCGTAGAAGTTTGCGTACGAGATTGAACTTTAGCATCCGGTGCTTCTGTAATCACGGCAGTAATTGTCATGGAAAGATTCGACGCGACATTTTTCAGACGCCGAGGCTGATTTATCATGCGCAATTTAGGTAGGTGTCATTCCGTCACGAGAGGCGAGGATAAGCGGGCTATGTCAAGAAGTTCGAACTTTTGCTGTCGCAATTCGGCAGACCACCTATCGGAGGCGGAAACAGTCACTATTTTCCGCAGTAGAGATAGGGATCACACCGAGACCTTCCGCATCTACCCTTACCTCTTCTGAGGAAGCAGTGGATGTCGCATTAAACGCGGAATTCATTCTACTTGCTGCAAGGACTGGTTGGGGTACTGGATATGAAAGCTCTATGGGCGCGTCAGCGGCGATAAACTTCAGTCATGCTAAACCGATCTTCTGGCTGGCGAGCAGCTCTGAGGTACCTGCTGGTTTTTCTTTGGGATAATTTTAAAAAAATTACGCTACGTATCCCCTTTTTTCTTGGCAAACGGTAAGAAGGGTCGGGTCTTCGCAAAGGCGAACTGACAAAATTTTTGTGTGGGAATTTAGAGCTCCAATAGAATGCTCTGTAATAACGAACGATATGTGTTCGATGTACGACTCAATTGGACCCGTCTCAAGGCTAAGTAATTTTTTGAGTGGCTGGGCACGCAACTTAAGAATGTGAGTAGTTGCTTCAACGCTAAGTAATGTATGATGGGGTGGAGTCTTGATCAATTTAGGAGCTTCGAGCAATAACGCTCGACTCGCGATAGTCAAAAGTAGTAGACAGTATAGGAAGGCATAAAAAAATCTGGCACGGAAACGACTTCCGTGCGTCTTGCGACTACACATATGTCTGCTGGAACTGCTATCGCCCATATCTTAAATGTAACCAAGGGGGTACTCGCTAGTAGAAAGAGAGTTGCGCTAGGCAACCCTGTTTCGTCTCTCGGAATGATTAAGCCACATCGTGTGCCACTCTTTAAGCGGCAACGGCGTCAGGGCAATCTCATCAGAATCTGGTCACATACTCACATGAATTCGATGATCTCTCCAGCTTGATAGATACTTGTTATAGTCCTTGTGAGCTTGTCTGTCCGTGATTCGCTCCACACCAAAACCAAGCAAACTTCCACCACGACCTTTACGCGAACACGTGTGGTCCATCTCTAAGTAATGCTCATGGAGGGCGACTCACCCGCATCTAAATCTCATGGTATTTCTTGGCTGTGGTGACGCGTCGACTTCCTCAGTTTGGCGTTTTGTTGTAACTAGTATGAGCCAATTGAGTATGCATTATCCAAGCGATACTATCTTACAGAGCGACTTGTCTTCCCAGCAGGACTTTTTTCATTGAGTAGAAAGAAAGGGATAGCTGGAACGTTACCTCGTGTTCCACATAGTGCTTCGCACGCGAATAGGTCGTATGAATGAGTTCATGCAATTGATTTAGGAATAAAACAGGATGTGCTCACATGTCCATCACAATTTTGATAGAGTAGCTAAATTCCTTTAACCGAATACAGCGATGATGCAATTTAGGCTTATAGACTATACCACATCAAGGTCATTAACGCTTAATTATAATTTTTGCCACTTTAAATGCATGTGTGTTCTTCCTGCCTTGAGCGACTTCATGTTGATTTTGCAAATATCGACTCTAAATCAAAGCGTCATGCACTCTGCTTATTACACTCAATGTCAATGTAACTATCCTCTCAGCTTTGCTACAAAGGTTAGCCGGGCTGGTGTAGTCAGTCAAATTGTATCAACAGCCCCAACCCTAGACCAGAACACTTTATGGCAGTGTCAAAGGAACGCGCGAGCTACCAGAAAATGTCAAACGAGGCAAAATTTAAGTGTTCTTAAATGTGATATTTAGCGCAAACTCAATGTGTATGAGCATTGTGCTCAGCATCAACGTGTTTCCGCGCAAAAACGTTCGAAGGAATTCTCTGCCACGCGGTTACGGGCTCCGATTGGGCGCGTCAATGGTTGTTAATTCGGCAGATTCATCACATCGTGAAGAAAAAGTATTATCCTTGATATTTTCCGGATCTGACTCGCTATTTGCGCCTTACAGTCACCTGTCTCTATCGATTTTCTTTCTAAAGATCGCAGCGTTTGGCCACTGCGATTCGTCTATGCTGGCCCTTGTTAGGAGAGACTGCCACACAGGAATGCTATTATCGCTCCTCCGGCTCTTACACCAAATATGGAGGAACGATGCCACTCCGCCTATTCTTCACGGGATTCCAACCTGCAGATCTGGCCGCATAGTCGCATTTATATCACCCATTATAACAAAGTTCTGAAGGGCTAGCCTTCAGCTGTAATCAAACGTCTCACCAGAGATCTATACTTGGAACATACCACTGGATGTTTCTGTTAAGCAAAATCTCTCTGGTGATCGCGATATACAGTGATAATTTTGCGTCTCATCAGAGACAGTGGCTCACTACCACCACTCTTCCATACTTTGATCAAAGCATAAGCATAAATGTTGCTAGTAAAATTTAGTTAGTCTCACAAAGCTATCGCAGCTTTTTCTAATACCGAAAGCGCCTTTGCCTTATTGCATAGGTCGTTTTATTACTAAAGATTCATCAAAAGAGAAATACAAGGCACTTAACGGTATTGACTTCCAGTTGGGCTATGGCTCATTGCGCTCAAGTCATGCCACACCTAAGATGTGCTCGAACCTCGAATCCAGGTTTTTAATCAGACAACGTTACACGCTATCACACAAAGTTTCACAGAAAAGGTTCAAGCCCATGTTTTGTACTTTCACTTGTAACCCCTTGCTGAGACATACAGATCTTGCAGTTGTATGTAGCATCTTAGATATGTCCGCGCATTGTCTACGATGACAATAGTCGCGCATCGTTTAACGCTCCTGGGACTTTTTGCGACTTTTAAAGCCCAAGATCATAGATGTTGACCTACTCCTTATCTCTTTATCTGCAAGCTAGACCTCACCTCTAGTAGAAAACGTCTTTGAAAGTAAATACCTCGTTGATATCTTTCTACACGTGAAACTATGAGACCCAATTCTATACTACTAATTCACCCAACTATTAGCGGAACTTGATACATCAAAGCAAAGGGAGCCTTCGTAGTTGCCTGGCTCTGTACACCTCCCGATCTGACGAGGACGAGACACGCATGGCGCAGATGATTGGTAGTGCCTTAGATGTGACATATGCAAGTATTGTGTTGCTGCCTGGCAGCTTGGCGATCGGTTCCTTGCTCACCAGCTTGACTCATATATCCGCTATCTTTCTTAAGCTTCTCGTTAGCTGACAGCTCGAGCAACCTAAATATTCCTGGTGGAGCAAATTTGATCCCCACTTTTAGTTCGACAGTCACCGCGCATCCTCAAAAATGGTTATGTATATTCGAAAGGTCTCGATGCGAGGTGCACTTGCCCGAAGATCCTCCATAATAATGGAAACCGCTATCCTTTTCGGAGAAGATCTGCCACTGCTGCGGTTATTGGAGTTAAGTTGTAACCATAATCCGCTATCGAACCTACATCGTATACGGTACATCCGCGGCTTCTGTCTCTTCAAAACTTCCTGCGGTATGATTGCCTCTCCTACAGATGTATGCGCGTGAGTATCCTTTCCATTCGCGGCTCATTGCGGGGAGATCGCTAGCGTAAAACACTGATGCTCCGTCTGGGCGAAGCCAAATTTTGAGCACCCTAATCTCTCTTCTGAGGAATTGAGAATATCTTCATGCTTGCAGTTAAACGGCTGAGCGCTTAACAGAAGCAGCACATCGCTAAAGATGTAATTTTCGTTGATACCTAATTGGGGCGCTCATATAAGAGTTTCATTAGCGCTTTTTTTGTAGCTGTTGAACTCCTTCAGGCGAGCAACAGAGCTTCTGGTCCTTGCAACGCCAACTGGATTATCCAACAAAGACATGAGCTTGTTAAGCGTGTCTAGCTAGATATTGTAGCTACCTGTATTCTACCCTCACCGAAAATAAAGACTTGATTTCAAATTGACGACAAGTGTTTCCAATAAAGTAGGTTTACTTGGTTAACTAGGCTTGCCGTGCACCATACAACGAGTCCACGTTAACAAACGCACAGAGAATGGTCTGGATGTCTCAGGACCAAGAATTCATCTGTATCATTTGTCGATCATACGACTGACATGTAAATAGAAACAATTTTATTTTTAAAAAAGACTTAATATATACTCACTGAAGAGATTTTGACAAGATCTTCTTATGCTGACGTGAGGTTTCTTCTCTAAGGTATTTCATCAATTTGATTAATACGAATACCTCGTTACTTCTAAATAATTCCAATAACAAAGATTCACAAGAAATCTCGCTCGACTGTACCGAAGACTTCGGTGTAAGTACGCAATAATGCAGCTCGTTCCATGTGATACGCTCTACTACCACGATCTGGACCACTAGGTCCGGCGTTACATTGTCATTTAACTAATCTACACAAAAGTGAGTGCTCAACGAACGCCTATCTCGCTTGCACCTGAGATCATCGTAAGAAGATACTGTCCTCAGTGCCTGCTCTTAAGAGCATCTTTCCGTTAAAACTCACTCCTATGCGCCTTCATGAAGACGCAGCCCTTAAAATCAACGATTTTGAAGTCGTGCTCGGTGATGACAACACCGTATTACCCGATAAGTTATGTTCTGATCCAACGCCTTCGCCTAGCCTGGCGAACTAGTCAAACTGTTTATTAAGAAACAGATATTCTATGAATTCCGCTTTCCATCTACATGAGGTATTAGCTCTCAGTATGTTTCTATTTTAGGAACTGTCGCGACACCCATCATCACTAATGAGCTGACAATGGCTTAAGCAGCCCTGCTTTTCCGTATGCAAGTGTAAAAGTCGCGACGTCTCCTTCCAATCTCATAACATTGTGATGATGACTTCAAACCATCCCAAAATACCGCTGCGCAGGTATAGTCCTTAATATGCATATGCATGTCGCCATCTAGCTCGCACTGAGAGTGAAACGAGCTTCTAAGAAACGCTTGACAGAATTTTTTGTCGTCCTTGGGTCACAACATCTTGGGGGTACCGCCCGATCTTAGAACAAGCGCTGTTCACAGAGAACATACTGTCGATCAGTACTCTTCTTTGAGTGTTGGTGACAATGCCGAAGCGTATTGCACTTAACTCGCGAATTGTGTGAGAAAAGCGCATTGCCTCACTGCCTTGCTAGCCAATGGTAGCAGCCCTGGTGTACCCGCCGGCCTATTTGACATTCTAATTTCAATAAAGTGGCACCTTGCTCATGTAGCAAATGATAAATATCCCGATAGTGGCTCTTATAAGCATTTCGTGCTAAGAATCTTTTGAGCGTCTCAGCAAGCGTCTGAAACTGAGACAGGCGAGTTTTCTCTCAGGTCACGCCATCGCACTGCATGGATTGAGCCACCGCAGCAACCAAAATTGTGTCGCTGGTTCAAAGGAGATAAAAACTCAGCTACAGAGGATTATGATGATGCTGCCTCATCCCAGCAAGGTGCTTCACATCCGACTTGCTCGTCGAAGTAGTATATAGCCTTACAAGCCAACGTAGACACTGGATGAATTAACTTTCTCATTGTGATATCACGGATGTAGCTCAATCCCGTTTTTGCTAACATCGTGAGCAGCTCAATGTAGCGTGATCACAAATTAGGCTGATAGATCACAGACACTGCGTTGTTGGTAATCTTAACGGCGTCGTATAGAACCTTTTCCCCCATTACATCTTGATCATGTACCTACCTCTAGCATTGGTGTATTGTCTTTAAGCACACTAGCAATTAGCTACAGCGTTGCGCCCTCGACGCATGGAGCTCGACCTCTTTGGCATAAATTAATTGAGTGTAGCCGGGCTGACGCTAGTAAGCCGATTTTGATCAACAGCTTGGTTCCCATCACAACTGGAACAACTCTGCAAAGAACCCTGAAAGTCAGTCAAATCATATATAAGAAATGGGTAAAGCATATTGGAGTATGCACTACGTTAATTAACGCGAATGCAATGAGGGGCAATTAACTCCAGTACTGTGGATTCTTCGCGCAAGAAAAGAATTTTCTTTGTCATGATTCTTGCGCTTTGTCTGACCACTATTTGGGATAGTAAGCGGTGAACACGTTCAATTTGGTGTTTAGTATCTTATGCAAAATTCGCCAGTTTTTGGAGAACTCTGATGATATCGATCCGATACAATGGCTACTAGCAAGCCGTGTTGGCGAAAAGCGTATCAAATACTAGCTTGGCTATATCCTCGCCAGCGATTTCACTCGGGCGGTCTTTAAGCTCACAATACTGATATCACCGGGTGCGTATTATGGAAGAATGACCGTAAAAATCTTTTTGGACTTCAAACATTTTTGCAGGCGCTTCTATAACGAAATGCCCTGATCTCCGTGTCCGTCTGGCTGACCCATGTGTATCTCTTCTCAGGTTTCTTCATACCAGAACTCCATGTATACGTCGATGTTCTCATCCTTTACCAATACTGGTAGGTCGGCAAAAAGCGCTGACACATGCGGCGACAGTTTGGCCTGTGCTTGTCTAGGAATATATATTCGGCCACCGACACATATCGGTCACTGAGCAACCTGACGTTTCTTATGGTCACTATTCTCTGTTTGTCAGACAGTATTTTGTAGTCAAGGTTCTCATACCCACGTTGATTGTCAAGTGAGGTAGTATCATGATACAGCAAGTTCGCGGATTAGGCTCGCGGCATGAACGTGTATCAAACCGTTTAAAAAACTTAGTTCACAAGCTCCTAACTTTATAGAACTTTCAACAGCGCAGTAGATTTCGCGTCTGACCCGTGCGAAGTACGTAATGCTTCAACAACTGGCGACATCATCATCGTGACAGGCAACGATTCATCGGGCAACACGATTGCGCATCTGCAACACATTAAGCCGATCCGGCTTGTAGCTTGTCTTGGATGTATACGAGGCGATGAAGAATACCCATTTCTGTCGCTTGCTGCGAGAATTACGGAATAACGTCGCTGTGAAGAACAGCTTGACATCTAAATAGATCACATGTAGTTTGAAGCCAAATAGATCTAACCTACTAACAGTCACAAGAAAGCCCTTCTCAGCCGCTTAATACTGGCGAGATTTAATCGCTATCTTGCTTTCATTCCCATTGGCATCTTTTCTAGCGTAAAAAATAGACTGATTTTTCACAAAGGGATTATGGGATAGCCGATTAGGTGACCCAGAGCCGGAATTCACAGACTCAAAACCGCCTCTTTTGCTGCACCCCAGCACAATTTAAAATTCGTTTGATAAAATCAATGATGAATCGTGCCGTCTCGGTATAGTGGTGCAAGCAGTTGGCCAGGCCAAGCACACCCATGGTTAGTGGCAGTAGCCGATCAAGTGTGGCTTTGATCGCTGTGGGTTCTGCTGGCAGGCCATGTTATCCTATAAAGCAACCCAAGGACGGAATCTAGTCAGCGCCAATAAAACCTTTGTCTACATCGACACACAGCTTTTTGAAGTGTATACAGCCCGTAAGGGTTTGATGCGGTTCTCCACGTTCGACACCTCAAGTTTTGCAAGACTATGGACACATGTGTCGTTAAAGTAGGTATGCGGCTATATTTGCCGTTTTCCTTTATCCTCTCTGAAAAAAAACACCGGTGACGAGTGAGAAGATTCCTTCTTATTATAATCGCTTCGTAATAAATACGAAAAAAGTACGTCCATTACACCACATCGCTCCGTTGGCTAAGGTCATTGTTGCAGCGAGGCTGCCGTAGCTTAGCGCTTGATGAAGCTTAATTTAGGTCACCGACCTTTCGTTCTATATAAGACCCAATACTAGTGTAGCGGATCGCATTCCGCTACCTCCAAGAGTAGTTAGTACCTTAACCAAGGATAAAAAACTCTTCGGTATAAATTCAAAACTGATTTTTATTTATTTAGATCTGCGGTGAAACCGCCTAATTTTATATGTATATTTTACTAATATATATAGTAAGATCTAAATACATGCATAACTACTGGCTACCTAGCCACATACCGTATTCTTATTTGGGTGCGGTAACACCAAGCACATCTCGTGTGACACACACCCCTGTTACCAGGGTATGTGTAATCCCGTTACACCCTCCCCCATTCAGATTTACGGCATTTACACTAATTGCCTCAACGAGGCTCGCGTGTCCGCCAGACACTGCAACTTAGTTTGTTGGAATAAAACGACTTCCTTGCTCCATGAGCCCTGTGTCAACGACACGGAAGTCACCAAGTCTCGCTGATTCTGGCAGCGAACACGGTCAGAGCCCAAATTTGTCTCCCGCACGCAGTGCGATGTTGGATAGTGCGTCCGCGGCACCGGAGGATGTACATCCTAGACTTGATGAGCACGAGCGTCGCGCCTTGCGCACGCTATCAATGACGAGTGACCTCGTTGAGGATG